AATTTGTCGTGTGGGTCTCCAAGGAACACGAAGGAATGGATGGTATGCGAGTTTGAAGAAAACGGAGAGTAACCGCCCACCCCGCGTGCTGTCCCGTCCCTGCCACACAAACCATTGACCTCGCCTGTTATCTGATCATGTTACCACGCGTTACTATAACTTTATCCCCCATCCATCATGAATTCCTCTACTTTCCTGCTGGACGCTGTAATGCATCTGCGCCTTAGCCTTAAACAAGGATGTAAAGGGGTGCCCAATAAACTAGCCCTCGTGCTGTGTAGGGTGAATCTAAACAGACACTAAGAACGTGTCATGGGACTGATGAACATATGTCCTGTTTTACTTAGATCACCGGATGATTAGACACCCCAGTTTATTTCACTTGAAGATTAGCCCCAGCTTATTATTTTCACCCGAAGATTAGCCCCAGCTTATTTCACCTTTGGATTAACCACCCTAACGCTAACCAAATCTATCATCCATAACCTACCCTAAACTGAACTTAAAAACTAGCCTAACCGAACTCCAAATCCTAATCTAACCCCCAGGTAACGTTAGGGTGGTTAATCTTCAGGTGAAACAAGCTGGGTTGGAGGGAGGAGGGGGGGCTTATAAGCTACGTGTACTATTACAGATGATACTAAATGTTACCTAATACTTCCTTGAGATAAATGTACAAAAAACTCTCAACTGGCTCAGCCATGTTGATATTGTTATTATTATCGACTCGATATCTGTATTTTTCTGGCTAAATAAACTGTTTTACTATCAATATCCTTGTTCTGGTGTGTGTTAAGGTGAAAAGGTTAATACAGGTCAAAGTTACAGTCGTGATAGGAGAGGCACGCAGCTGGGAATTGGCACTTGGCCCGAGGACGACCTGGTTGTTGTTATTGATATGATTACTTCACCCCCACCACCTGTCACTACCAACATGGCCGTCATGCAACTCTCCAATACACACAATTATCTACAATAGGGTTTAATAGATACTTGGCTTGCGTTGTCTGGTGTGAGCCTCGTCTACTACAGGCATAAACACTTCTTGTAGTTTTAACTTACTAGTACAGTACAATATCGTCCAATTATACGTTGTCTCTAATTAAGGATAGTGGTCCACGCCTGCTTTAAGTTTCATAATTATACCCAAACAATTAGGAAAGTTAAAGCAGGTTGTTATAGGAAGGGAAACAGGGAGGTCGAGCTGTTATGAATATTGGTCACGGTACATACAGAGAGCGAGAATGTAAGAGTGTCTCAGTTTAACACGAGAGTAAGACAAAAACCCTCTCTATCTTACATACTTAGGCACAACACCATAACAGTAGGTCTATAAATGTAAGGTAGATCCTATTCACACCCAGCCATCATCCCCTTGTATCTGTCCAACCTATATATGAAGACTTCCTACATAGATCACGTTCATGTAGTCAACTGGCAACATGTTCCACTCACTCACAATTGTATTACTAAACAGAACTTAACACATCTCCTCCCTGTATATATATAGATTTCTTAAAATAAAATCCACATTAACATAAACATATATTTAACTGGTGAACCAATATGTATCGATATAAAAATCACATCGACATCACCTTGACCTCATGTGTTGGATCACCTGAAGATTAGCCACCCCAGGTTAATTCGCCTGATGATTAGCCACAAGAGGTGGGGTTAGGGTGGTTAATATTAAAGTGAAATAAGCTGGTGGTGGTTAATCTGTACTGTACGGAGCCGATACGTTTTCTTATCTTTAGTTAGTACTGTAGTGTAAAATAAACGTAATAATATTTAAGAGTCTGGTCACAAGGTCACTGAGTGTAGATGTTGACATAACGTGAGGTGACCAGGTCGATACACTCCCCCCCCCCCGAGAGGTAGCTAGTCACCTGATAAGGGTTACTGATAATGAACTGCTGTTAACTACGAACACAAGGTAGTTCTTATCCTCGTGCTGCTGCTTCTCTTGCTGACGTAGTTGGGAAAGAGGGTCCCATAGATAGGTGCCATTTACAACTGGGTGGGTGAACAGGGATCGCGTGGGATTCGAATCACCGACCCCAAAAAACGGGAGATAAGCGCTGTAATCCACTCGACCGCCGCAGTGTTGTTACGACATTGTTATTAGAATATGGAGTCTGGTCACTGTACATTAATAAGGCCATTGTCGACTTATTGTTCAGCTGATGTAATTGTCAGGGTTAGGTTATTAAGCACCATTCATTGACCTTACTTCCTGCAACTATCTAACAAATTGACGGTACTGTGTGTGTGTGTGTGTGTGTGTGTATCATGCCACATACATGTTTAGTATAAATGACAGAGTTGTTTACCCAGACAGCCAGCTCTTGCACACAGGATAATTTATCTGAAGGAGGCGTCGGCGGCAGCGTTCTATCTCTGTTTACATCACAAAACAGATAACTTTTGATTATGAATTTAACTGTATAATCATGAACGACGTAATCGATTTCGTAACAAGTTCAATTAATCTGGCGCTGAAGTATGAGAAACAGTCATTCATTGTAACTAGTAACGATGTTGGTCAACTAGTAAAGATGTGGTCAAGTCTCGTCTGGTGAATTTCGTCTTGTTATGATAACCGACCACATGGACTCACGGTGACCGGAGAAAAAATAAATAAAAACACAAAAATCCCAAGAAAAAAGTCACATAAAAAGTCAGAATTTCGGTTAAGTTAGAGTAGGGTAGGTTAGTTAGGTTAGCTTGGGTTACGTTAGGTTAGGTTGGGTTACGTTAGGTTAGGTTGGGTTACGTTATGTTTGGTTAGGTTAGGTTGGGTTGGGTTTGGTTAGGTTGTTAGCTTTAGTTAAGTTTGGTTAGCTTAGGTTAGCTTTAGTTAGGGTTGGTTAGGTTAGGTGATTTTCTCCTAGATGAAGCTCACCTGTGTATGTTACCGCTCTAGGTAAGAAAACAAACACGACCTGAGATTGCATTTACATTTCCTGTTTTGAGTTACGAAATTACGACTTTAACAACACACACACACACACACACACACACACACACACACACACACACACACAAAATAATACCCCCCAATCGATTCACGGGAGAAAATTTAACCATCAATATGAAACAGGTAGACACAACTTCACCAGTCCTGTGTTAGGTTAGGTGAAGTTAGGTTAGATTAGGTGAAGTGAGGTTAGATTTTGTTTTACGACCTTTAACCCGTGTCTTTGTTTTAGTGAGGAAGGGGAGGCAGGGGTGAGGGAGGGAGGGGTGAGGGAGGGAGGGAGAGGGGGTGAGGGAAGGAGGGAGAAGGAGGAGAAAGGGGAGGGACAGAGGGAGGGGAGGAGGCAGAGAGGGAGGGAGGGGGGGGTAGAAGGAAGGGAGGGAGGGTTAGAGGGAAGGGAGGTGAGGGAAGACAGGGAGTGAGGGGGAGACAGAGGGAAGGGAGGGGAGACGGGGGGAAGGCAGGGGAGACAGGGAGTGAGGGAGGGTTAGAGGGAAGGGAGGGGAGGGAAGACAGGGAGTGAGGGAGGGTTAGAGGGAGGGGAAGGGGGCAATATTTACAAACAATAGACAGTGATCCGGACAATATTATTTACCGAGGTGTTGTAGGCGGGTCACGGGCACCGAGCTAGCTGTATAGTGGCTCCTGTCCTGGCATTACACAGGGCCACCCATCCATCCATCTATTCACCCATCAGTCCATCCACACAGGCAACTATCCACCCACCCATCTATCCATCCACACAGCCATCTATCCACCCACACATTCAGCTATTCATACATACAGCTATCCATCCACTACCCACCCATATATATATATATACCCATCCATCCACATCGCCACCCATCTATCCATTCTTCTATAAACCCATCCATCCAATCATCAATCCAACCATCCATCTTTGTCAACTTAGGGATCAAATTTTCCTCGACAGTATAAGAAGCACAGAACAGAAATAACACCCAAAATAGCTTCAAAAACACACCGAGACTCTACCTTATCTAGACACTGTACAATACTGGCAGCAAACTTCACGTAGGAAGGAATGTAACTGCGGAGCCAACCAGGTAAAACAATACCATCAGCTGTAGAGCATCGTCAGCGCCTCCCACATCCCGTACTATTTGCTGATATGTCCGTTACATTATCAGACATGGCTCCTACTCAGCACAACACAGTCCCCATTCACTTAGTCAGCGGTATAAAACACGTGTATGTGTGGTATAAACAAGAGGCGGTTGCTGTTGAATGAAATCTTACGCTAACCTGACACTACAACTCTGCATAGTCAACAAACTCTTGGTAAACAGAGTGAATGGAGGAGCTAGTACGTATTGTGTGGCAGTTTAACAGAGGTGGATACTACAGATGTGACCAAAAATGGAGGGAGATTTAATGGGGGGGGGGAGGTAGATGACATACACGAGGCTGAATGCTAATCCTCAGTGTTAATGTCAATAGATTATTACCCGGTACAAACATACTTCCTGGACTGACTTTGGATGGATAAGAACGACGAGTCAAGGGGAAATGTAAGGGTAAAAATGTTTATCCAAAAACTGAAGGTGAACATCCTCGCATCTGTCCGCCAGTCAGTAGCACCTGTAAACGATTACTCCCACACCTTGATATACTGTATTGTACACGGTGTCTCAAAAAATGTATACACACACACACACACACACACACACGAACACTCCCTTATAGATTCTTGTATTTACAGCAGCAACATTGTCCTCAGTTGTTGATGTGCGAGGTTTCCCACAAATAGAGGACAACGTTATAATAGTGTACAACCATTCACACAATCTCCACAAACATCTGTAAGGCAGGTGTACATTGTTTGGAGACACCCTGTATATATAGTTGGGACATAAAGATTGGTAATATACAGTACAGGGTCGATTGGTTTAAACCTATAGTTAAAATCATTTGGTTTAAACAGCTTTTTTATTGTTAATCAACCCCCAATTTTTTGTTGGGGGGGAGGATTAGCTTTTTTTCAAGTTTACATTCCATAACATTGTGTGGTCTCTACCCCTGCATGTGCATACCTAAGGTCTTGGTTTTCTGTTTACTTGAAATGCTTGCAATAAACAGTAGGGCCGTGTCTTAATGCAGCATAATACAATTAGTTTAAGGAATTTACTGTAATTATTTTATCATTGAATTTCCATTTGAGTCGCCCACCAAAGCTGCTTCAAGTATTGAATAATTAGTGAATTTGGTGCAATGAGCTGTTATTCGGTACAGTGCTGTATAGTCTTCATTTTATAAGCCTATTTGACCAAATATTTTTTCAACTTGTCATTATTATCAGTTGGAGGATAAAACAAAGACATAGGTGGGCGTGATGTCCCTTGGACTTTATTATGATTCATATTATTTCCCGGTTTATGCTTCACTAGACACAATCATATTGCAAACATTTCAACAGTAAACAGAGAACCAAAAATGTAAATTAAATAGTCTTCAGCTATTTATAATGAAAATATATTGTACTGGACAGTTCTCCATTGATATATGAAAGATAAATGCAATTAATTGCGGTAAAGCTCATAAAAAACTTCAAAACCAAAAACATGGTTTATTTGGTAAATCATTTTTTGGGGGCAATAACCATGTTTTTTATCCAGCTTGGTGACATATATTATAATCAATACACATTTAATAGTGCGACTACAGTAACCACACGACTCACTACAGCACCAGTAACAACACTGTACAGGCGGCAGACTTACCACACCAATGTTGAGGTTGTCCCCGGGGGTCACAGTACACAGGCTGCTCCCTCCCTGGCCAGTTAAGGTTCGCCAAGGCTGAGGAAGTAGTGCTCAGTTCTAACATGATTTTGAAGAAGAAAATACAAGCAACGCATCACCTAAAGATCCCTCCCCTCCCCCCCTACTTTATTGAACTAACCTAACTTAAACTAACTTAAACTAACTTAACACTAAACTAATCTAACCAGGTAGCGTTAGGGTGGTTAGTCTTCATGTGAAATAAACTAGGGGAGCTAATCTTCAGGTGATCTAATTCTGTACATACATACATACATAAATACTGTTTCATTTTCTTCATAAAGTTAGATGAAAGTAGCAATGGACCTGACGAGGGGTTAGGGATGTACAGTGGCGGCAAGTTGGGACACACACACACACACACACAGTACAAACACAAAATAACAACTGTACACGACGTTACATTTGTACAGCACAATACAGTAATACAAAATTCATACCCAGTAACTATAGCACACAACTTTATTACACATCACAACTAGTATACACTTTACAACATACACAATACACCAACAACAGCACATCACATTACACTGCACATACCTACGATCACCACAAAACACAGCCCTAAACACTAATACACAATACAGCAATTAGCACATTACAGCATACAGCACATTACATAAAAGCTGTACTGTACTCTATAAAATTCACCACTAGTACAATACATACAATAAAAACATTACACTGAAACTATACTGTAGTTCTATTTAGCGGATCATGGGTGGGGGGGGATTGTAGTCCGTTAGATGTGAGACCTCCATATAACGGATTACTGTACACCAGTCAGATTGATGTTCGTTCGTTAATTGGAGGTTTAACAGTACACCAATAATGACATTATGCAAAGTCATACACGATACAGCACTGTAATTATCTATTCAAAAATACAGTAACACCATAACTATAGGAGGAATACAGGAGGAAGAAGGAGGTGGGGGAGGGAGAGAAGGAGGAAGAGGGGGAGAGGAGGACCACAAAGAAGCTAAATTAGGAAGAAAACAGAGAACAGGAGTAAGTGGCGGATACTAAAATACACACGAAGAAGAAGAAGAAGAAATTGAAGAAGAAGAAGAAGGTGAATAAGAAGAAGAAAAAGAAGAAGAAAAAGAAGTGAACAAGAAGAAGGTGAATAATAATAATAAGAAAAAGAAGAAACAAAAGAAGATACAAATATTCCTCGTATCCTGTTAGGGTGGTGGAACACTTGGTTATGTCAGTGTTGGGTGGTGGAACACTTGGTTATGTCAGTGTTGGGTGGTGGAACACTTGGTTATGTCAGTGTTGGGTGGTGGAACACTTGGTTATGTCAGTTTTGGTTGGTGGAACACTTGGTTATGTCAGTTTTGGTTGGTGGAACACTTGGTTATGTCAGTGTTGGGTGGTGGAACACTTGGTTATGTCAGTGTTGGGTTGGTTATGTCAGAACACTTGGTTATGTCAGTTTTGGTTGGTGTTGGTGGAACACTTGGTTATGTCAGTGTTGGGTGGTGGAACACTTGGTTATGTCAGTTTTGGGTGGTGGAACACTTGGTTATGTCAGTTTTGGGTGGTGGAACACTTGGTTATGTCAGTTTTGGGTGGTGGAACACTTGGTTATGTCAGTGTTGGGTGGTGGAACACTTGGTTATGTCAGTGATGGTTGGTGGAACACTTGGTTATGTCAGTGTTGGGTGGTGGAACACTTGGTTATGTCAGTTTTGGGTGGTGGAACACTTGGTTATGTCAGTTTTGGGTGGTGGAACACTTGGTTATGTCAGTGTTGGGTGGTGGAACACTTGGTTATGTCAGTTTTGGGTGGTGGAACACTTGTTATGTCAGTTTTGGGTGGTGGAACACTGCTCAGTGTTGGGTGGTGGAACACTTGGTTATATCAGTGATGGGGGTGGAACACTTGGTGTCGTTTTGGGGGTGGAACACTTGGTTATGTCGTGTTGGGTGGTGGAACACTTGGTTATGTCAGTTTTGGGTGGGTGGAACACTTGGTTATGTCAGTTTTGGGTGGTGGAACACTTTGTTATGTCAGTTTTGGGTGGTGGAACACTTGGTGAACTATATCAGTGATGGTGGTGGAACACTTGGTTATGTCAGTTTGGGTGGTGGAACACTTAGCTATGTCAGTGTTGGGTGGTGGATATATCAGTGATGGGTGGTGGAAACATTTGGTTATGTCAGTGCTTGCTGTGGTGTTGGGTGGTGGAACACTTGGTTATGTAAGTGTTGGGTGGTGGAACACTTGGTTATGTCAGTGTTGGGTGGTGGAACGCGGTTAAACGGTTGGTCATTGGGTGGTGGGTGGTGGAACACTTGGTTATGTCAGTGTTGGTGGTGGGCGCTTGGTCATGTCAGCGTAGGTGGTGGAACGCTTGGTTATGTCAGCGTTGGTGGTGGAACACTTGGTTGTCAGTGTTGGGTGGTGGAACATTGGTGGTGGAACACGCTTGGTTATGTCAGCGTTGGGTGAACGTTGGTTATGTCAGTGTTGGGTGATGTCAGCGTTGTGGTGGAACCTTGGTTATATCAGCGTGTGGTGGAACACTTGGTTATGCGTCAGCGTGGTGGGTCTTGGTTGGCGTCAACACTTGGTTATATCAGCGTTGGGTGGTGGAACACTTGGTTATATCAAGTGTTGGGTGGTGGAACACTTGGTTATGTCAGCATTGGGTGGTGGAATACTTGGTTATGTCAGCGTTGGGTGGTGGAACACTTATCTAGCATCTCTGGTATGTGACCTTGGACTCCATCTTCACAAGGCTAACGTTACAACCTGGATTAATTTATCTAATCTTCACATGATCACTACATCTTAATCCATAGCTAATTGATAAGCTTTATAAGATATAGATACATAAAGATTAAGCACTCCAACTTAATGCACGTGATGATTTAACACCCAAACGTTATCCAAACCAAACCAAACCTAATTTAACCTAACCTATTGTAACCTAAACTAACCCCTTCAGGTAGTGTTATGATGTTCAATTATCAGGTGAAATATGCTGAGTGTCTAATATTCAGGTGATCCAAGAAAACTATTCATGTTAGTGTATAACGAAAAGAGAGACAGTTTACAATCTTGAGGACTGTGGAAGTTATTACCTGTTACCAAGTTATATCAGGGATTCAAATCTGGCAATTTTGTCAGTATATGTGTACAGTAAAAAGGTTTTAGTGTCTTTGAAGCTAAAAATCAGCCATGTCAACTTTGAATCTCTGAAGTGGTCCTGAAGTATGTACAACATCTCAAGTTTTCACAAAATGTTGCCATAAACAGATTTTAGCCTCAAAGGGGTTATGGTACAGTACTACCAAAAGTTTCCCTTACACTCGCACACATATACTACTGTATATACAGTACAGTAGTATATTGGTTCTAAAAGCAGCTATGAACCCTGGAATTGACTCTTTAATGAAAATATTTTATAGTATACAGTTTATGTGATGATTCTTCACATTTGGATATTTTATAAAAGAGGCGAACACTCGTAATGAAAAGTACACAAAGGACAGAGGTGGCCTTTTTTACCTACCGTGTGCTGTGCTGGTCACCTCATCCATCCTTATACTGTATGGCAAACTCTGCCTCGTCTGTCACCATATCATCTGGTATCTCTCTTTTTTTTAAGTTATCCTGTTTGTTTTTTCCATGACCAGATCACAATGAGCACACTGATCTGTAGGTGTTAAAAAAAAAAGAGAGAATTAATATGAATCAATTCAGTATAAGTTAAATATTGAAGAGGCCTATACCTAAACTACACAAGGTGTTCCTCTGCATAACCAACCTGTTGGCACCCTGTGCTTGTTGAGAGAAAAAAAATCAAGAACACCCTTTCTATACAATACTGCACTGTATACACCACCAAGGTTCCTACTCATACAGTATATTGGTACCAGTTGGAGCAGCAGTTCGTAACTAAGGGAGAGGGAAGACTTTCATTTTGGGGGGGCGGGGGCGAAAGGGATCAACATGTCTGATTCAGAAGTAAATACTGTACACGAAGATACTCTATGTACTGTACACTGAATAATAACCAGACCTTATTCTATGAGGTTCAGGGATGCCAGGGATTGAAGGTTTGTCACCTAGATGCAACACTACTCTCTGCTCTAATTGCATTGTATAAATTTCGATGTTGAGATTGATCAAATTAGTTAAGATATTTTAGTGGTGTTAGATTTACTATAATTAGATTAGTTTCGATTGAAAAAGATGACCATTGACACACAAGACCTACACCACACACTTATGGTATACAGGTACAACTGCACATAAGTTTCAGCACCAGGGTGTGATGGAAAGGGAGGGGCTGTACTTTACCAAGGGAAAAAATTTTCACTTGTGAGAAATATATGTAAGAGGAAATGTTTTTTAAGCCCACATCTTTTTCACCCAAGACAGACAAAGGGTTGGATGAGCAGTATACAGTACAGGGCATATCATTTTATCACCAAGCAACAATCAGTCCATAAAATGTACACAAAGTTACTGTACTACTGTTTACCTACATCTAAACTCTAAAGTATCTAAGCCTTAAAATTAGCAAGGGTGAAGTTGTGAATTTAACTCATGGACAGTATGATCACTTTTGAGCCAGTCCCATGACTGCATTGGGGTAATTTGAGTGGCATAAAGAGCTTCAAATAAATCAGATCTATAGAACAATTTACAGCATATAAATGCAAAATTAAGAGCATTTTTAGTTTTGGGCAAGTGCTACGGAAGCCTGATCATGTCATGTAAGGCATATTATTTTTCTATTCATGACGAGTTTGTTTGGTCCCACCTGTATCCAGTTACTTAATCCTGTATGTCTTTTGCCATTCTAATTAAACAGTTCACTTAAAATGAAAACGGAAATCTGTCATGCATGACCCATAAAATACAACTGGAAAAATGTATCAAAAGCTCCTAGATCAAACAGCAACTCCAGATGATGTACCGGACCATTATGAATTGCATCTACAGAACTGTCTCCACTGTTTTCAATGTCTATCTCATGTAGACCGAGTATACAGCAGGTAATCTATCCATTAGATTCCTGCAAGCCCACCCGGTATCACTACATTTTTGCAACTCCCTGGGCTCATCACCATACATTTCCCTCTGAACATTCAGCCACTTACAGTGCGCATTGAACCCTGACATGTACACATTGAACTTCTGCAGCAAAAAAAAAGCAGTCAGCCTCAGACTGACTTAACAGTGTCAACTAGCACCAGGTTAAGGCAATCTGCATTAATCAGTACATAGAAATCATGTTTAGCCTCTGCCTTATTCCAGCTGCCACTCCAGAGTGTTTTCCACTCATTACTGATGCCCCATCATAACCTTGTCCAACAAGATTGGATCTGTACTCTAGCCCATACCTTACCAGGCAGTGGATGAAATTTCCTAAGAGTTCTTTGGCATCTAATAGGGTGGCTTGTTGGAAGTCTAGGAAGCTTTCATGTATGGCCCCATTGTAATAGTACCTAAGTTTCAGTGACAGCTGCTCCTTCATTTTTAGGTCTTTAGTTTTGTCAGCAATGACAGAGAACACTTCACTTTCCTTTACTTCTTTCATTATAATGTTGTGCACCATATTTGTCAAACATTCTAGAATTATATTCTGTATTATATTGCTGATAACTTTTGCATTACCACTTGCCTTCATTTTTTCCTAACACTATGTCATGCTTTGCAATCATTTCCAAAATTGCTAAAAAGTTTCCCTTGTTAAAGTTGTCATCTGACTCATGGTGGCCCCTTTTGTGTTGCCATCAAGAAAGGTGCTTCAGCCACCGTTTTAATGTATACAGCATTCAATTCTTTTGGACTTTTCCTGTACTCCTAATTCATGGTATCTAATACTGGAAGAGTCTGTAAGTATTTTCTTCTTATGCTCGGTCCATGCAAACATGGTACAGTACTGACATGACTTTGACTTTTCGTGTAATTTAAATCCACCATCTCTGTACACTGCCTTTTTCCCATTTGAGTAGCCCAGTTTTGAGGTGAAGGCCGATTCTGGGGTATTTGGCAGGGAAAAGTGTCTACATGCAAAGCAGTAGGCCAAGTCCTGGATTTGGGAGTATTGTACTCCATCAACGGATGATACTTGTAACAAGAATTAATTAAGGCCCTTTTCCTGCTACCTTGCATCATTCTTGGAAAGACCTTTAAATGAGGCTGTGCAGAGCCTGCTGCTCTGAACTGTGAAACATCTGCAAATGATAATCAACACAGGGTTAATTGTTGCAATGAAGCAATGCATTTCGGCATCATTTTAAGTCATAAGCATGTCATATGTGAAATGGCCCAAAAAAGAACATATCAAGTTACATTCAGAAGTATTAGCTTCACACTGGGAGGTTTGATAATGCTGTAATTATTGGAGCAGTATTATAGTTAGTATCCCATTCAAATCCACCAAGAAGTAAAAATGAACTTACATTGAAAATGTTGTGTGGTAATACTAAGCCACTCAGAATGGTGTCTAAGACTGAATGCTACAGTAAAATGTGATAATATACTGTGAGGTTCAGGTTGGATCCAAATGGAAGAGCCTCTCAATAGCCGCTTGACATGCCCTGACGTGCAGACACTGCTGGAGGGTACTCGTCGCTGTTATTAAGGCTTGAATGCTGCTGGATACCCCGAGGTAAAGTGCCTGAAAACATAAATGAAATATGTTATTATAACTTCAATAAGCTGGACTTTATTGGTCACATCCGTGTCACATCTTTTGTCTTTTTGGAATGAGTTTTGTATTGATGAAAACGAAAGAAGAAGTTGTGTGTGCTGAGGTGTGATAGTGTAGTATTTTGCTCTAGATAATAGCATCTGAGTGGAACATCCCAATTAAATAAAAGGAAATGTCAAATTAAATGGCAATTTAAGGTAAATGTTCATGGAGTAAACAGATGGAACTGGCAGAACTTGACATACCCTGATGTGCAGTGTTACATGCGTGTACCTCATAATAGAACTTTACAACCCTTGACAACCAATTGCTTCATAAGCTGTACTTTTACATGTCTGTCGGATGTACTGTACCTGTATGTGTATTCTTAATAAATATATATTGTATGATTATACACATTCTCAGTATAGCATTACATGTGATATTGTCTTAGTGAATAGTTTATAATATTAACTTCTATAATCTAATATTAATACTGACATGTTAAATAAGATGTTTGGGTCAGTCTGCTCAAAGCAACCCATAGAAGCAGACGGTTTCAGAGCTGGGTCAGTCACACAAAAGCATGGGTAGTCACAGGACCTTCACCACTGGCCTGCATTGTCAGTGTATGTCTGTCTTCAATCTGGTGTTGTACTCCTGGTATTCATTATTGAGGCTGGCTGGCTGTTTTATATATTTGTGTTACTTGCATTTATAATTGTGTATTGATTTATTTTTGGGTGATGTTTATGATCCTTGAGTACCCTAATACTGTACCTGTACGTTCAATGTAATTATTTTCTATTTCACTGTTATTAGTGGTAAGTGTTTGTAAATATAGTTACTGCACATTTTACTTAACTTTCTTTACTCCATTCATCAAGTCTATATTCATGTATAAAGAGGCTACATTCAATCTGTATATAATACTGCAGTAGTTGGGGTTCTTCTTAATACAAATATTATAAACCATATACAGTAATGCACTTTGAATACATTAACTTTGTGTTTGTTATGAGTCTTACCTCTCTATCACAAAACAGCAGATAGATCTGCAGACACTGATGGGTGCTCATCGCTGCATGCCTAATCTCAGGTTGGTGGTGACTTGTCTAACAGGCCACTGCACTGCTGTCTATGGCTGGCTCTCTACTTTTCTTCTTCCTTATAAAGAAACTCTTCATATCTTGGCTTTGTTTCACACCTGGCTTTTCTCTCCCTTAACTGTCCCTGGAAAATTATAATGCAATTAATTCAATTTTATGCTCAATTTACCCTATAAATAAGCTATCATATCAAATGTACAGGATCATTGTCACCCTCAGGCTTGAAACATTAGAAGCAAAACAAAGTTTGCTATTTTTAGCTAGCATTGTACAGGAACTGTATTAGCTAGCTGGCTAACTGGGTAACATCAGACTCAGAAGCGTCTACAAAATGTTCATAGCTATAACAGCTTGCCAACATGTTGCTGCTTAAGCCAGGTCTTGATAACTTCTTCTCCAGAGGTGTTACAGCAAACATCCACAAACGTATCAAAATGTGAAGATGTGAATTATACGGTAGTTTCCCCATAACACATGTTGCAAGGAATTTGGCTGGCAGGGCAACTCATTGCCTTTCATAATGATTGTCAGTTCATCATCCTCATTAACAGGTGGCTTGGCAAAGCATGGAGCAGGAAGTTCTGCCTCGGCAGGTGGGCCGTAGTCTTGTGTGGAGGCAGGTCTTCTGACTTTTCTGATGGTGGGGGTGAAGATTGTCTTGACAGTTCAGGCAATTGTAAAGGTTGTCCTGACAGTCCTGGCTATGGTAAAGAGGGTCTTGATGGTGAAGAAGGGCTTGATGCTGCATTGCTGCGGGGAGTCTTGGTTGTGCAACACGAGAGACTTCAGGTTGTATGATGGGAGTGGCGAAAGTCACTGCTAGAGGTGGTAGAGTCTGGCCTGGAGGGATGACAGTAGTCGTGGCGGTTAGCTGAGATACCGTGATATTCATGATATTTCATAAATATCGGCATCTAATGTTGTTGACATTTCTTGCATAAATGTTCAACTTCTTACTGGGTCTAGGCATCTTGTTTGGGATAATGGCAAGAAAATTAGTAAAAAGCAAAGCAGTAGGTGAGGAGGATGCAAAACATACATCTGCTCTGTACCAAGTCATTCCAAGCACTAACTTCCCCTCAGCTTGGACCCTCTCCTGTCCTCCACCACCCTCACATGCACACCTACTCTTCCTCAGCCAAGGACGAAATGCCAGATGTTGCTTAAATAGCAAAACAAAATAATTTACCTTCAAATCTTTTTATACTGTACACTTTTTTCAGGCACTACTATGACAACAGAAAATGGGTATGACTCAACACCATGCACCTAGGGGTGGGGTTCCTTTATGATTTTCTTTTTTTGGTAGTAAATATTGTCTGATCATAATTATACCTGGCACATGCATCACTGATGTCAAACGAAATGTTCTGGAATTTTTTCAGAAAAAATATATTTTTATTAATTTTTATCGTTCTTTGCGAGACGATCCCCTTAAGGTGACAGAAACAATATATATCTACTACCTTGAGGAGGAGGAACTTCACCAACTTCAGTTTCGTGAATGTCCTAATCTATACTGTACAGTACAGTATAACCTGCATCGTGGTCAACAAGTTCCCTTTATCATCAGATTTGCTGTGAGAAGGAAAGACGCTGCTGTGAATCTGACAAATATGTGAGTGACTTGGTCAATCAATTGGGCAATGCTTCCTGGGGATAATGCTCTGGGAGAGGCACAAAAACTCAAGGGAGAAAAATGTTGGTAATTGTATTAGTGGTTAGACTGAATGGAGGAAGAGGAAGAGAGGCATGTGTTTTTTGCCCTCAACTCCTGCCACCCTGTAGTATTGAGAAAAAATCTTCCAGGATGATAATGATAATAATAATATCACTACCTCAGGAAGAAGTTTATCCAAGAAGCCTCCCAATTCCACCTGCTATGGACAGAATTAGTAACCCTTATTTTCGAGAGTTGTGAACCACAGGAGTATGAACCCGCGTTCAAGCATTCACTTGCGACATCAGTGGGGAACCAGGGCCCGGCGAAGGGGGGGAGGTGAGGGGGGGGGGGGAGGGGGAAGGGGAGGGAGGGGGGAGGGAGGTGAGGGGAGGGGGGGGAGGTGAGGGGGGAGGTGGGGGGAGGTGAGGGGGAGGTGAGGGGGGGTTGAGTGCAGCTAGCAAGACTGGATTTTATTACAATATTTAGAAGCATATAAGAAGTTAACCTGTTGCTTAATACAGGTACTATGATTCACTCACACTGCCTGTGAGCTTTATTTACTCATTCTTGCTTTTATGCAATCACTGTCACCAGAACAGATCCTCACACAAACCATGTTCCACCACACTCATGATAATGCCAACAATATTCAAATTTTCTATAACACTTTTCTACGGTATCTGTGTTGCCTTAGCCTCTCAGGCTGGTGACAGTTCCTCACATTTCTCTGGGGAGGGAAAAACATGGAGGAACAGAGCACGGCTGATGCTCGGTTGTGTGTGGGGGGGGAAGAGTGTAGTATCATTTTGGCATATTTATTGTCTCACAACTTTTGGTCAGCAATATATGAATATATAATTAACCAATCCAGTAACAGGCACAGACTTACTAATTTCTAATCCCACATTATTCTCTTTATTATGTATTAATCGTTTGCTTAATAAATACTGGGTTGTAACTGGAGACATTTTACTCCTCCCCCATCCCTGTTGCCACCTTCCACTCCTACACACCCCCCCAATAGCCATTCGCTCTCCTCACACCAGCCCCGGTCTCCCTCAAGTAGCAGTGAATGCTTGAGCCAGGTTCATACTCCTGTGCTTCACGCCTCTCGGTAACTTCAGTCGCTCGGTATCCAGGAACAATCTCAAGCTCACCTCCGAAAAAGCCTTGCACTCTTTCTTTTAGCAGCCGCCACGCTGTTGACCCCTGCTCGAGAATTTTTTAATTATCACCAATATTCGTCAGTTGGAGTTTCAACTTCTTAGCTCAGCATGGATAGACACAATGAGGCGTGGTGTACACAAATGGCCACCCACCAGCCTTACCTGTAGGTGAAGTGGAGTGTATTGTTCACAGTGAGTGAGAGAGTGAGTGGGGAGGAATTCTACATAATCACTGGCTTCTTTCCTTTGGTGAAATCAAAAGTGAATGAGGTACCCATACTAGATCAGGGGAGGCCAACCTGTCGATCATAAGCCCTTCTCTAGTCGACCGCACGGCATAGTTAAACTTAATGATCCATCCTTCATAAGCTGCCATACAAAAATCATATTCAAATTTTACTCATTATTATTGGGATATTAATTTTTAGATTTTTTCTGGAAATAGATTATCATTATGGACACATCAGAATGATACATACAAAAGAACTTTTACTGTACCATGCTGTATGTGGCGGAACCTGATAGGAAGTGTTCGGGTTCATACGGGCCGTTCTGGCTGATCCCTGGTGAGGAAACTGATCAGCAAGTTGTCATCAATTATAGGCTAAAACTAAGCAAGTATTTGCTTTTATAAGTTAACAAATACACTAAACCTTGTGTTAATGAATTTGGTAATGAAAAAGTTGACTCAATATTGAGGAGTCTTGTCAAAAGCAAAGAGAGACAATCATATTTGGCAACCCTGTCCCTATGAGCCTACACACTTGTCACCAGCAACGTAGTTATTTTCAGTCATCTGCAATACTTGGGAGTATAAGGTGCTGTCTCTTGTAATGGAAAAGTCTTGGATGATTAAGCGAATTACTGACTTTTTAGCTTAGCAACAGTTCTCTCCGCAACCCTAGAGTGGACAGAAGTGTCCACACTAACCGGCAACAATTAGCAAAATAAAATGTTAAAAACATTACGCTGTTACAGTTAGTAATTCTCATATTCATGTAGGAAAAGTCATGGAAAAAAGTAATTCTCATGTTCACGTACTGACTTTTTCTTTTCCAAATACAGATTATTGGCCATCAACTGAACTAAAAATGAGTTCTGGACCAAGTAAAGTACTAAATAGACCAAAATTTACCATTTTCAAAATGAGTGGGAGGAAGACTACTTTTTTTTTACCATGAATTATTTGAACAGGTGCAAAACATTGCCTCAGGTTTTGACAGACGGTTTTAAGATATAGCAACAATAGAACCTGTTGCAACATATAGTATATGTGTTTTCCATTTGGTAAAGACACAAATGTTGAAGATATTGCATCTAGAATGGCATCAGATTTAACACGGACATATCAGAAGTCGAAAATGAGCTTCTGAAACTTCAAAATGATATTCAGATCAAATCCATGGCAACAGGAGGAAGTTTCTGGAACCTTCTCAGTGAATAAAATATCCCAATGTCAGAAAATGTGCCATGTACCTAACAGCATTTTTTTGAATCAACCTACCTTTGTGAATCAACATTTTCACACATGAAACACATCAAATCCAAATACTGATCAACGATGTCAGATGAACACCTGGATGCTTGCTTGAGGCTAGCAATCACTGTCTATAGTCCTAATTACACAAAGCTGGCAGACAACATGCAATGCCAACCATTTCAATAGTAAAGTAAGTGTACGCTTTTGTCATTTTAACAATACAATACAATATATCATAACAGTTATTGAAAAATATTATTTGTGCACCTCTCTCTCTCGACGAATTTGCTTATTTTATGGCAATGGGAGGGGGTGTTATGGGTGTAAATTAGGCTGGTAGATCGCATCAGGGAAAAAGTAGATCACATTACTCAAAAAGGTTGGCCACCCCTGTGCTAGATGGTCTATAATCAGGGTTATACCCCCAGCATACTGCACCCTACTTCCTACTGATAAGATAAGACAAACTTCTACCATCACTACCTAATACACAGACACACTCCTGGTACTAACAGTACTGTACCTAACTTACAAATACACACTTGAGACTTGAGACAGGAATGGATACAGATGCTTTCAGTGGATATTATGGTGTGTGGCTCTGTGCTTGCGGATCATCCTGGTCACATAGTTGATGATGCCACCTTTCACGGGAAAACCATATACAGTAGAGGCACTGGTTGTCGGTGAAGCTCAGGCCCTGAAACATGCACCAACATTGTAACATCTTCTGAGAAACTATTTTTATATAATTACTAACTACAAAAATATTAGAGAGAGAGAGAGTTATGACCTCAGCGAGACCAGATTATAGGGGAGACAAGGGTTGGAAGTTTGGGTAGGTCATAGGTGCTGGCTCTGATGCAGATTCATCACACCAAGGAATTAGACATCAACAAAATTGAGGACAATTTTGCCATCAAGCAACCCAGATGGCTGTTGATATTTACAGTAAAACCCCAGAATACATGTATCCATAGAAAGCATTGTGACTGACCGAGTGTGAGCTAATCCAAGGCCAAACTTGACCAACACTGGGGTAGGTTCAGATACATTCAGGGGCCAGTGCATGCCCAGTACTTGCCAACAGTGCATAACAGAAACGTGACCAACTGTCCATACAATTAAGAGGCGATCAGTGGTGAAGAGGATTAAGTGTATAAATTCATCATCTCCAGTCATAATAAAGCGTCATGTCCAAAATAGGTGTTAGTTAGCAATAATAACATACAAATATTAAAATCCATGATGTTAAATGATTAAATTATATACTGTACTATATATGTACACTGTGAGCTGACAGATTTTGTTTACCTTTCAAGTTTGAACATCAGCCTACACCAGGATGGTCAGTGTTGGTTATATTTGACGAACATAACATTGAATCTATAATATTTAATGTAAAGTAACAAAATATAGAATAACCTAAAATAAAATTGGTATTGTCACAATCGTTGTAGTTCCACTATGTTTGGTTGTTTGTTTGAATAAATATAAAATAATAATAAATTGTTCAGTAATTATATTCGTGGTTTAATTGTAACATTAAGTAAACTGCGGTACCTCTTGGCAGATTATTGGGTAAAATTGCATTTGTTGCCACTAACTAAATCTCGAGAATTTTATCTTTGCAATCAATAGTTCAGACAAATCTATGGTACTTTTTTTCTATGACGTTTCCCTTGCAAACAACCTAACCTAACCTAACGGGAGTAGGGAGCTCCACCCTTCTGGACCTCCACGGCATATTAAAGATCATTTGCGAGGGTAAGGTCATTGAAAATAAGTGTCTTAGAATTGTCTGAACTGCTGTATTGACTACAAAGACAAAATCCTCGAGATTCTGTTGGTGGTAACAATTGCAATAATACAGATTGTTCCAAGAGTTCACCTCTCCTTACTCCAAAAAGTTTGCCCTGGCTTATATAAAATGTTCATAGGGAATAATTATATGATATATGATACAAACAGTTGAATTACTGAATTAGTTGAAGTTTGTATCAAAGAAACACTTTAAGCCAGTAATCCCTAAGAGTTTGTTTACTGTTGACAAAACGTCTCATACGTATACCATTAGACGCATACTGTACACCTTAACTACTGTATGTAAATTGAAACTGTATTAACAAAGCAATAAGTGAAGTAACGTAGGAGTAGTGGTGAGGGTAAGTCATTTAAATGTTCTATGACACTAGACTTGTGGTGTACACAGTGCAATATTGGGCATTAACAGCTGTCACACCCACATGGGGATACCTGTTACTAGCCTCTCTTATCTGTCCTGTTTCATAACGTTCAACCTGGAAGTCCACTACCTTCACAATTATCATCACGTTTGACGTATAACTGCTATTGACTCGAGCCTGTAAGGAATAGGAGGTTCATCTGGATGTTGTGGTATTACTATCGTTTAGGTCATCCATCTATGAAACTAAAAATTTCCACAATAAATAATTATCATATCAGAACTCACTGATGAAAATATTGTAAGAAAATAATAAGTAATAAAAATAACTCGCTCATGGGTTAGTCCTATATATTAACCGAAAAGTGTTTTAGAATTGTCTGAACTATTGATTAAAAAAAAAAGTTACTAAAAATTGCTGGATCCCCAAAATTATAATAATACCTTTGGATCAACCAATCACAGCTCGGTATAGGCTTCCTGCTAACCTCCCTCCTCTCGGTCGGAGAAAGTAGTCAGGCAGTGCGACCAGTGGATGACGAGGATGAGGATCTCATGACCCCACCTCGAGGTCTTTTGAGTCTAATTAAGGTAAGGTTTAGGGTTAGGTTCGGTTCGGATTATTCTGACCTTCATTTCCATAGCAAATTACTATTATTTTGTGATTTTCCCCCACACGAAACTCCATTTGTTTTTGGTGATTTTCTCTGAAAGTAATCAGGAGTGGATAAAATGCCATAGAAGAAAAGTGTCTTAGAATTGTCTAAACTACTGATTCCAAAACTTACAATCCTAAAAATCATAATTTGTTATCTTAAAGCGACATGATGCAAGTTTACGTATTTTATGGACGTGATAAGAACATAACTGAAAAACAGTATGACTTCTCCCTCATGAGGAAGAACAATAAGTATACGAACATCCAGTTAACTTATAAGTTAACCAATGCTACTCATAAGATATTGGAAATGAATCACAACCCATAGTGTGGAATTCAGTTCCAACAATATGATCTTTATCATTTATAAATTGAATATAATTAAGAATTTACTGCACAGAAATGAAAAAAAAATACCCTGTATATGAGATATGTACAGGTTATAGACACAAATCTGGATACTAAAGATTAAAAAAAAAGGTAATTATTGACAACTGACCCACAGCCTATTTTTTTATAGGAAAGTAATATAAAAACACTGCAATTTCACTGTTTTATAGTGGGTACTGTTGTAGTTTGTTAAAATGTGTTAAAATTTGGTAATTTCTAAATTAAACCTAACCTAACCTTAGTTAATAAGAAAAACAAGCAGCAGAAGCGTTGTTAGAGGGGTGTACCTCCAACTCGGTCCATCTGAAATAACCAACTCGGCCCACACATTACTAATTTGGCCCACCTTGCACATTTCAAACAAGTAGCTGACTAGAGGTTCAGGAATGAGTTTGAGATATGTTTTATGTCTCTTTTGGTTTAATGAAATACTGGTATGAATGAGTGGATACCGAGGTTTCAGTCGGTATGAAGGACGAATTTTATGAGTTTATGTTAGTAGAACTTGATCAATGAACCACGATTCACATTCGTAACTTGTACTTCTCCAGGTGATTTCAAATAGGGTTTGAAATTTTTGCTTCCAGCAATTTGCCTACAATTGATGTTAAATTGATTGGACGGTAGTTAGAGGATAGTGATCTATCTCCCTTTTGAAAATCAGTATCACATTTGCTATCCTCCAGGATTCTGGCACTACACCCATTTTTAATGACATGTTAAACAAATTTTCTAAGTGCATACTAAGCTTTTCCTTACATTCCTTTAATACTCTGGCAACTATCTCATCGGGATATGGTGAATTAGGCTTTAGCTTGTCTATTTGCTTACTAACATCGTTACTGTCACTACTATCTCGCTTAATCTATTTTCTTCACTATCGCTGTATATAATGGTGCCTCGGGTATCAGGTTTAAATTTTCGGTGGTGAAAACTGTTGAAAAATACCTGTTCAGATTATTGCTCATTCGCCATATCAGTTAGCTCACCGGTATTGGTCCAATCTTGTCTCGTGTTTTAGTTTGATACATTTGAAAGAATCCCTTGAGGTTTAACTTCGCCTCCCTTGCTACCTTCACTTCATTATACCTCTTTGCTTTTCTTATCTCGGTCTTAACCCTACTGGCCAATACCTTATATTTTTTTCTTTTATTCAAATACATGCACACACAGTCCTACATACAGAAAGCTAAAAATTAAAACCAAAGAAATAATTATCATAAGGTAAAAAGTATTTTGAAACTCATAGTTTTGGGTAGATACATGCTTTATTTTCTCATTTACATGAACACGCATACAGAAAGTGCAAACAGAAATAAAATATATAATTATGATTAGGTATAAAGTTTTAAGTATCTATGGGTTTCCACCGTGGTTAATTGCTGTTAGGGTCGCTTTGTATTGCTAAGGTGAGCACGAAAGGGAACTGTAGATTAAATTGTAATATTTATCAATTGATGCTTGATATTATATACTGTACTGTACAGTACTTTCCTTATTGATGCTTACTGTATATGCTTAGAATTTTAAGTTTTAATGTTACAGTGTACAGTTAGACCTACTCTTTAAAGTGACTCTAGTGATCTGAACAAAGGCTTCACAGCCAGTTATAAGAGGTTTAACTAAACAATTAGTACGTTTTAGGCCTGACACTCGATCAGGAAAAACCCTTATCCAGTAACTCCCAGGTTCCAAGTATGCCTCGGTGCTTGTCACACCACCCATGCCTCAGTCACACCCTCAGACTGATGTATGTTGACTACTGTGGGCTTCTTTGATCGGGTCTGGGGTGAGGGTGATGTGTGCCCCTATGCTAAAATTGCTCCTGTTGGGTCCTGGCTTACCACCTTTCAAGCAGCTGGCAAAAAAAGTTTGGCAATAGATGCCTATAATTAGGTGGTCAATTGCATGTATGGCTCCATCTAGTTTATTTTTAAATACACATGACTTTTCATGAGTGTTAACAGGAAAGCTTGTGTTCCAATTTGTTATATTAGAATAACTGCACCATTACGATTTTTTCTTCTGCAACTCCCGAATCCAGTCCCTGGAACCCAGGTTGAGAGCCACTACCTGAATCCGTCCCATAGCTTCAGGTGAAACATCACCGGGAGTTTGTCTGTTCGTCAGTTATGTCATCTTCTTTAGTGTCCCTGCCTGATTCTCCAATGTCTGTGGTGTATTTATCACTATCACATTCATCTTCACTCAGCATTTTAATGGTAAAAACAGTTGGGAATACAAGCAAGACTACACTAAACCTTCTCTTGTGAATGAGACCTTACCCAGTGGTGGAGTAAGAGGGTGAGGGAGACTTAAGGATAGAGAGCCTAGTGTAACAGTGGTAGTCCAGTGGTGGAGTAAGAGGGTGAGGGAGACTTAAGGATAGAGAGCCTAGTGTAACAGTGGTAGTCCAGTGGTGGAGTAAGAGGGTGAGGGAGACTTAAGGATAGAGAGCCTAGTGTAACAATGGTAGTCCAGTGGTGGAGTAAGAGGGTGAGGGAGACTTGAGGATAGAGAGCCTAGTGTAACAGTGGTAGTCCAGTGGTGGAGTAAGAACAGTGCTTTTGGTGCTGTCTGGTGATAATCATTATTTATCATTACAGTAACTGAGGGTAATGTAGTGTACTTATAGACTACTGTAAATCAGACACACACACAGTTACAGTACTAGTACAGTACATTCATAAATTGTTTAGTTTCTGTCATATCCCAAAAATTTCATGCTTTTGTAAAAAATTTCAGTCATTATGCATTGAATATACAGTACTGTATATATGTTATTTTGCATTATTTTTGTAAGAATTTGATTACAGCACCATTTCCTGTAAAGCATGTATGGGAATTGAATAACTATGCACTTTTTAGTGATTTATTGATTATATAATGGCCTTTTTAAGATCCTATTATAAAGTGGAGATTGAATTATCATAAGATTAGTCTCAAGTCACAACTGCACTAGTATTCAGGGTTTTGGTCCTAACCCCAGTAATTATGGTACTGTATATTACTTTAGTTGCCGTGCTACAAGCTCAATCATAAAACAGAATTTCAGAATCAAACATGTAGCTACAGTATTTATCAGTGTCATTTGAATTTTGTTTGTTTTGGTGTTCATGCTGTTTTTATTTCATATTGTGTTAATGCCTTTTGCTGAATTTATTTTGCAGATACATCAAGGAAGAATCTTGGAAGTTGGAAACATTACCTTCTAGTGGTTTGGTGCATAGATTAACGTCTGCTAAGGTAAGGGACGCCCAGGTTTAGGTCGTATATCTAGGTCCTTGAATTATAAATTCCCGCCAATCTCTATGGGCCCTAGAACAATAAATAAACACGTTGAGTTGTCTGGCAACAATACCACACCCGCAAAAAGTACTAGAGGACACGAAAGACATACTAAATACTGTAGTGGAAACATATGTTATTTGTCATTATTTTAGGGTACAGTACTGAGCACAACATGGTGTAGTGGTAGGATTGTGACAGCGTATATGTGGTAAAACTGTACCGTGTAAATTTGTGCCTTACTGAGCTTACTCAATAGCATATGTCAAGTGCCTACTCCTAAAAAAGTGTCTCGTGAATAATATCTACATATTTGAGTACAATAAATGTTAAAATAAGTGTAGAATTATGTAAATTTATGTTTTCTTTATGCAAGTGATGTCTGAAATTCACCATGGCATGTTTGCTGTACAGCACGAGGCGTCTCTGATGTTCACATTCCATTTAGAATAAAAAAATTATGTTTGAATTCAGTTATTCACCTTAATCACGAGTGTTGTATTTAAACCAAAGATTTGATTCAGATTAAACTGCAGACAAAGTTTTGCCACCCATGGCAAATTTAATGTGTGACATTTCCCCACTCCATTAATCAATCACAGTACCGTCCTCGTATCTGAGAGTTGGCGACCGCAGTCTTACATTGTAAATGTTTTCGGGCTGTTTCTACCATTCTTACAAGATTTATTATTCTCTGGGAACCTAATTTTTAATTTCAATCATCCATCCCGATCTCTGCCTTCCCCTAGCCATCCTACCCCCAGCTTTGCCCAGTAATATTTTGTTTATTAACCCTTCATATCTAATTATATGCCCAAAGTATTTATTTTATTTATTTTTTTTTTTGTACATTTCAAGTATTTCTCTTGAAGTTTTTAGTAATATTAGTACTTCTTCATTTGTTTCTATCTAACTTCTTTTTGGTGTCTGCTGAAAATGTCCAAGCTTCTGCCCCATACTACAGTCCTGACCATGTACTGTATAGCCTTTCAGCAACTTTTTCTCAAATTGAGTTAATGTCCCTTTTTATTAGGTCTTTTAAATTATACTGTACAGTATGCTGTTTTTGCTTGACCTATTCTTGTTATGATCTCTTTCATACACCTACCATCACAGCTAATGTTACTCCCCAAATATGCAAATTTTCCACTTGTTTAAGTTTCCTGTTGTCTACCATAATTTCTGTTTAAGGATTTATTTCCAATTTGGAAACAACTATTACTTTCGTTTTTAAAGCATTAACTCTTAACCCATATTATCCACCTTTTTCCACTAATCTGTTAACCAGTGCTCAAAAGGTGTGGAACCCCTTCCCAATTTCAGTAACATTAAATAATTCTTCTGCCTGAAACAGGATATCAGTATCCATTTTTATATTCCACATTTAATTGTATCTGCCATTTTTCAATCCATATTTAAAGAGTGCTTCAGTAATTTTTGGAGTCTGCATCAAATTAAATTGTGCGTCCTATTTTTGTGTCATCAGCAAATTTACTTATGTTGCTGTCAATGCCTGTATCTGTGCTGCTAAATATATATACTGTAGTACAGTACATTATGTTCAATAGTAACAGACCGAGTACTGAGGCTTGGGGAATGTTTATCACGAAGTTACACTAGTTGGATTTTGTAACATTTATACTGACTTGTTTCCTGTCAGACAACCACATACTAATGTAGTTTAGAATTTCCACTCCATTGTCATGTGCCTCCACTTTCTGTATTGTCTTTTGTGCAATGTGTCTTCATGAGACAACCATATGTACCATTTGTTCTAATGCAGATTATTACAACAGTTCACAATTCTTACTGTAACAGCTTTCTCTGGCAGATTGTTACTGTAAACAGTTCACAACTCTCATTGTATTAACATTCTCTGGCAGGTTGTTACTGTAGAACAGTTCATAACTCTTATGCAAATATTCTCTGGCAAGTTATAATTGTACAACAGTACTCAATTTTTTCAGTAAAATTCTCTGGCAGGTTATTACTGTACAGTACATCAGTTCCCAACTGACAGATTCTTGGCTTCTTTATGGTAACTCAAGGCTGTGACCTTTAGTGTAAGAAGACATTAAATATGCCATTAATGTTTCATTAAAGGTTTTTAAAGGTTACTAAAGAAATATCTAAGCTGATGAAAATGTAAAGTTTCCTTTTACTTCATCAGATGGACGGCTACTGTGCATCGTCTGTTAGTAAAGGCCAACAGCATCTACATAGATCTAGTACAATTCATGGCACTCAGAGTTCTATTGCTCTATTAGTCATCTTAAGTCTGAATAACTGCAGTACAGGCAGGGACTAGTTAAGGCTTACACCAAGTATGCCATGGCATAGCCCCCCGATTTGCCCACCACCCCAAATCAGGGCCTGGTTACAGCGTTCTTTCTCACCAATGGGTAGGATTAAGATCTGCATGAGGTCATGATGGCTCTCGGACAACAAGTTAAACAATCTTTGTATTCTCTCAACAGTTTGATCTCACACAATCATTAAATTTTAAAGATGATGTGAACATTTTTGCAACAATAAAGTCAAGGAAGAAAACTTTGGTGTCAGTGTTTGAGTTCTATAGTCTTGTATACTTCTTTTGTGGAATATTTGCTACAACAGTATGACTAAAGCTATTATTACATGTGTTAAGTGAAGTAACTTTTGTCATCTTGTACTAAACCAGAAATAGTATATCGGAAGAAAACTTTGTTTTAAATGTATGAGTTCTATACCCATGTATTTCATTGCCAATATTATTCTAAACTAATAATTTATTTCTATAAGAATAAAGCAATGTATTATAATTCTGTGTTCACATTAAGTGTATTACGGTAATTTTATCTTTGTGCTTATTTATAAATTAAAAATAAAGAAATGCTTCTAGTAGATAAATTCCATCATATTTTAATTTACCGAGATCTAAAAAATATATATATATATATAAAAGTTGATAATGAATATGTATTAGCCCCTGTCTTATGGCAATAGCAATTATATAAATTTGGGTTAATACATTTAGTTTATACAGGAGTACCCAAGAACGCGGTCAATAAAACCCACAGGGTACCGTGTTAAGAAAAAACCGCGCTAAGTGAACAACAGAACATATGGGATTAATTCCAATAGAAACTGGCCCATCACCAAACTCCACTTTTTCCCACACAATACCTATGTTCTAGTAAAAATAACATCTTAATTTTATGATGGTACATGCACAATTAATACTTAAGAAATAGAGAAATACAGTCGCCAAGTTAATGTCCATTCAAATAGACTCAACTCCCTCCCTCTTCTCACACTACACTACTGGCTCTTCCCTCTCTGAGAAATTTTGGGGAAAACCACTAAATTTTAATAAATAATACCTCAAACTAAAGTTAGGATAATACAATTGACATTGCTGGATTCCTTGTAAGACCAGGAATATTTTGAATACAAATGTCATATATTTTGCACAAAATAACATATTTACTCAGAGTAAACTTTATATCTAAAATTTGTATGTCTAATGCAAAATCTATGATGTTTATATTCAAAATGATCACCAAATTGTAGAATTCCAGCAATGTAAATTATATTCTGGTCGGGTGATTTAACTCACAGCTAATAAATTAATTTAACGGTGCTTTTACTCATAGCACTGTGACCTCTTTTAGTTTATCAATAAATAGAGAAAAAACCATTTTGGGTTTGTAACTTAACCCTTAACTTATTTATATAAGCCAAGTTAAAGGAGCTCTACCAAAGCATATATAAAGGTGGCTGCGAACAGGTAGAACCATTAGCTGAACCAGTGAAGCAGTGTGACTAACTGTGCAAGAATCGACGTCACTGTAACCCAAGTAACAGTGAAATTTTCTAAGTGTCATTCTCCAAGGCAACAGACTATATACCGAATATATTCTCGTGAGTGACGTTATATGTCAAGTGATATATTTAAATGTCATCCCAGATCGACATACAATTTTTTCTTTTACTCAAATAACATTTAAGTGATTTAAACATAATTCAGTGTGGTGTGGCAACACCTCGACAAGCAGATACCTGGAGTCCCCATCTCAAGTGGACGTGACCCAGTACATTCGCTAACGCCTGCCGTGTGGGAGTATCCATCACTACAAAGACTTAACCAGACACCTTACTCTTCCCAAAGCTCAAGTGTTGTGAAGACTTTGTCTGTACATTTTTTTCTCTTCTCAAAGAACAACCAACTCATACAGCTACAGTACAACCCTGTGTTCCAAGGCACAGTTGACAAATGACTGTTTAGACATCCCAAGTTGTTTAAATAAATGTCTCTGTAGTGTGTAAAAACAGAGTGTGGTAAATTCTTTGTGAACCCAGCTACATCTGGTACAGGCCAACTACTTGACTTGTCATACTCAATCAACTCCAAGAGGTCTACCAGCCCCAAGGTGCATTAACCTAGTGACCTCACAGGATCGCCTGACGACACCAGTGAACTCCGAGTTCACAGAGTTAGCCATCCATCACCCCTCTAGTGGTTGACCATTGTTACTCTCGTCAACACCAGACGCCATCACGAATTCTACTAGGACGACATCTTTAAACTACACCAGCAACCCTGACCGTGAATCTCGACCAGCTGACTGTCATCCAAGCCACTGAAGTCTACGGGATTAAAGGCCAGATTTCAAAAATTCCCAGAATTCTACAATCAAACCAACGGTAATAGTTAGACAGGACACATTATATTAAACACACATTAACATATGTCAACACAGCATCACATGTTAGGATACATCGTGTAGGATAATGTTTAATTTGTAAGCGTCTTAATTATTATTATTATATATATATATATATATATATATATATATATATATATATATATATATATATATATATATATATATATATATATATATATATATATATATATATATATATATATATATATATATATATATATAAAAGTTCT